CGAAAAATTTCAATCTAACTTAATGTTGAATGTAGCCTTGGATTGTACGAAGTGTTCGGGAGAACGAACCACTAATGTCCACGACCTTCCAGACTCCAAAGAAGGTGAAGTCACCGAATTGTTAGCCTGATTGAATAAAGCGTGCTACAATCTTGGTGATCGGCTAAAGTCAACATATTAGAAAGGAAATATCGTTTTTGTGGCCGAAAAGACACTGAAATTACGACCTTTTCTTTAGTCGACGTTTTCTTTTTTAGAATTTTTTACGTTTGGGCCTTTGGGGTCAAAAGGACTTCGTAAGAAATTTTTAAGATCAAAGGAACTCGTTTTGTAATTTTCCTGGTGCCAGTCGCGCTGACCCTCAAGTCGAAATTCTTATAATGTTTTTCCATAAGAATTTGCACTCAAGGGCAAAATGGTACCTGATCTCGAAAGGCTTCATTACAAGAGAGTTAACAACAATCAAACAGTAGGCACATTCTTCAAAGACACCTTGTATTTAGCGGAAAATGTGATGTGTTGAGTTACGTGGAAAACTTATGTGAATGAACTTGCTCAACTATTCAAATTAGAGTGAATATACCACCTCAATGCCATCCGAGGGGGACAAGCGGGACGTCGATGGTGTCGTTGCAAACACCATGGATGGTATACAACTGTCCACGCTTGTTGGTCGCGTCGGGCTGCAAGTCATGCACGCCGTCGGCGACCAAGGCATAGAGACCGTCCGTACGAGCACCTTCGATAGTTTTCGTGGAGTAGTATATATGTAGTCCCGTTTGGAACTGCAGAAATCTGTTCCCATCGTGTAGCCGAGACTGGGCCTCCGGTACATGCTCCATCGTGCATCGTGGGTCTTCGAGTCTTCTGATCGCTCTCATAATAGTCTTTTCCCTATCACCGAACTCACTGCGATAGTAGTACAGGAGCACATCATCCTTTTCTTGCTGTGTTTCTCCACAGTTACTTTCGATGTAGTCCTCAATGTCCTGCCATACAACGCGGGCGCTAGCCCCTACATAAAGCTTATTACTTTTGATTTCCTTGCACCTCTGGAACGTTATTCGTTGGATATATAGAGAGATTGGAAAGGCTTCTGTTTACGACCTCATATAGTAGCC